TGGAAGCAGTAAACTTAAAAGAAAGCTTGATAAAGATTTGGATGATAAGAACTGGCTTTGAGTTTATATATATATATATATACATATATAGTTTAGTGGATGTGACAGCTAGATGGACCAATAGGTCCCTTGTTGTCCTTAAATGTTATATTACTATGTTTACCTCTTATCTATAGGAATTCAGTTAATAACTTTAATAATGTTTGTAATTTTTTTATGTAATTTTTAATGAAATAATTCCCTCTCTTTATACAGTGAAAACTACTATGCAGATTTGGATATTGACACGAAGACATTAGCTAAGCTTCAAGGATGAGAAAGAATCGCACGACAATGAACAGTACATAATTCATTTGGCTGTATAATTATCTATTTAGTAACACAAGATCAAACATCATGTAAACAACACTACTGTTCTCTCGTTTTCCATGAAAAAATGATTCTTGCTTTTTTTTTTCCTTCTGTAATTATAGGCCAGTACAAAGCTCCTCTAACAGGGCCACATAAGCTTAGAGGACAATGATGGCTAAAGTTCACATTGTATTAATTGTAATACGTAAGATAAAACATCAGTTTAGTTTTATTTAACCAATAATTCTTTGCATAAAATTATTGATTATGATTTGAAAAATATTCTAATTGACAGGAAGAACTAGTTTTTGCAATTTATTTTAATTAAAATCATTCAGACCTCTATAGCAATGTGCAGCACATTGTAATTCTTGTACAAATAGGAAATGCAAAAGTATGAAATAGTAACGGTTGATAAGAACACAATTCTTATTGCCTTCTTTCAAGATACTGATGCATAACTTAAGTAAATTTAGAAAGGCACATCAAATATAAACTTTCTTCTTTGTTTTTCACATCTGTGATTTCAATTTCTCAGTATTTACATGATTTCAGTATTAGTTACTTGCCAAGACTGAATTGGGGTTTGGGGTAAGCATTATATTTAAATTTTTGTTTTTATGCTTATGCATTAAATGTAACCAATAATCTCAAATGTGTTATCACAACAGCTTTTATATGATCTGTATTATTTTTACATGTATACGTGGTCTACAGAAAATGAAGTGTGTAACACAAGAAGAAGTGTTGTATATAATGAAGTGAGCTTTTCTATCTTACGCCTTGTGTTTTTTAATTTTTTTGCTTCAAAGTTATCTTTTAAATTAGTTCTGACTGAAAAATGCACATTAATTATCCATATCATTTTAACAAACAAATCTCGTCACATTTAAGGTGAAAGAGTAAATAATATCATGACCCACACTAAGTTATATACAAATATCAAAATTGTGAATTATGGGTAATAGTATGGAGAACCCATTAATTCATTAGTGCTAATAACTGGTGCAACTGTTTTTCTTCCAGAGAAAAATGAAAAAACATTACTCAAATTCAATGATAAAACATGGAATTTGAGTTAATTAAAAATTACTTCAATTAAAAGTTCTCTTTCTGTTCTCTAAACATTCATCAGGACTTAAACATGGTAGCCAGTGCTTACAATTATGCAAAAGTACCAGATTAATTTTTGCACACACACACACTAACTGGGCAAAGAAGGCTGAATACAATTTTACTGCATAAAATAACAGTACATATTAGTTGTGCTGTGGTTCTTATGGGTTCTGTATGATTGTTTACATAATATTGAACTATTGCATAAAATTATCACCTCTGAACAGTTATAATACAAAGGGCATTTTTTCTTTACAAATTCTTTTCTGAATATTGTAAACTATGTTAAGTCTAATAATTTTCAGTACGTCGTCTATTTGAGTTAGGTTTCTCCCAATAATGGATGTTTGGTGTTCCTTGAATAATAGTATTTTGGTAAAAAAAATATCATATAATTGCACCTTCCACTTCAAACCCTATAGACACTTGAATGAAAATTTAGTTCTCCCAAGAGTGATCTGTTCACTAAATATTTTTCAAGCGTACATTACACACTAAATAATGACAGAAATAAAAAAATTGTTCACTTACATTTTATGTTTTGAGAACAAGTATAGTACATAGAGAACAAATTTTCATTCTGTTCATAAATACAGAAGATATTTGTTTATGATAAATACTATGGCTATTCAGTAGATTCAAACACTCCTCATGAAGTTAGTAAACACACACTTCGATGGTCATACTCTTGAAGCAAATGACATTATGATGTATGCCTCTCTTCAGAAAACAGAAGTTATGAATCAGAGGAAGCTATTCAGTAGATTCAAACACTCCTCATGAAGTTAGTAAACACACACTTCGATGGTCATACTCTTGAAGCAAATGACATTATGATGTATGCCTCTCTTCAGAAAACAGAAGTTATGAATCAGAGGAAGCAAAATATACTGTTATTATAGACAACTTTATTTTGAAACATAAATATATACATAACAGTTCTAAAACAAAGCTTCTCAACAAGTACCATGTTTTGTTTTATATGATGCTCATGTTTTCACTGTAGTCACCCAACCCACCACAGAAAAGAAGTAGTGAGGCAATTAATACATTTTTGGATATTTTAGCGAGCAAAATCAGTCATTACATATAATGGTATAAAAATGGCTATATACTTTTTTCTATATAAGTTTAGGGCATTAATTTTTATTTCCAGAAAACTTGTCTTATAACAAATTATTCTGGCCACATAATCGTACATGAAAATGAAAAAAAAAAAAAATTTTCCTCAACATTTGTGAAATATCATTTCCTTACTAGATACTAATTCAGTTTTTTTAAAACTTTTCTATTAAACTTCTATTGTGGGTAGAGATTAAAATGATGATTAATTCATGTTGTATGCATTAATTTCACATTAGATCTACCAGCCGTTTTTTTTAATCTCCTATGTAGAATGAGAAACCATGAAACTAATCATACTTTAATCTCTCTTAAAAATTGAAAACTTATTGATAAGCAAAAAAATCAGTAAATTCCCCCATTTTTTGTTTTTTCATTTAAACTACTGTCTTCAATGGCTTTTATTTATTATTAAATAGCCATAGACTTAAGTCCTTCAGTTATGGAGTAAACCAAGTATTTTTTAATCCTTGATGTACAGAATTGATTTATATACTTCCCCAAATTATATTAAATCAAATGAAAAATATACAAGAACTTAAAGAACCCAAAAATAAAGAAAAAAGACAAATACAATAATAGCAGCGGCTGCTGCCTTAGCGTATGTCGATCGCAGGTTCAGATAGCGAGCATCTTTCTTGTATTTTTGGGAAAGCACAGCTAGGTTGCTGGTCTTGGTGTCCAAATCTGTAAAACAAAAAGATAGTTGTTGTGAAGAGCTACATTCACAGAGTTAACAAATACGGAACTAGTCGATTGCTTTCTATAGTTAATATCAAAAACTTGCGGTCGAGGAATATTGTGTATAAATTAATTGTAGCCATTTTAGATTTAAGGAAACAGAATATGGACTAGATAACAACAACAAAAAAAAAGTAACGACTTAAAAATTACAAGTTGGAGAGAGCATAACTAGTTGTAAATGTTGAACATTGTGTGTGGTCGAAAAATCTCAAAATAAATTTATCAATTTCATTGACAAAGGTGTATTTCAATCAAATGGTAAGGCCTATGAATAGTCGTAAGCTTTGTCAATTCACCTCTTCTGTGGAGCTAATCTTCGTTTCCAATAAAACTACGAAATACATTCTAAAAACATTATAATACCGAAATGAAGAACGAAAGAGAAGAAAATGAGAAACTATTTCTCTAAATAACACAAATACAGAGCTGTGTTCATTAATTCTGTTTGGTAATGAACTTAAAATGAAAATTTTAATTTTATTCTAAGTCTATCTTTCAACCAAATTTGACAAACCTAATGATAAAAATGCTATTTATGAGCACCTTTGTTTAAAAACAGTATACTCCACAGGAGAGGTAAATTTCAAATGAATATTTCCCAAGATTATGTACAGGTCACAATAACAGCAAGAGAAATGTAGAAATCTCATCATTTGATACAACAACTATCAATGTATAGTACCAAGAGAGTGAACTGGATTTTAATAGAAAATGATAACTAGAAATTAAAATTCTAAGTATAAATTTCAAGGAGGTCTCCTAGATAGAGCTGGTCATATCTTGATTACAATTGTTCACTGGTAACTGTGAATAAAAAACATTGGTGCACTTTTTCAAGTGGATAAATCACTTTGTCTGCTTTTGATGTGTTAATTATACTTCACCATTTAATAATTTCACCAAAGTATTAGTGAACATTTAGCAGTCTTGTTGTCTAACAGTTCATGAGTCTTTGCATATGTGCAAAAAAAGATTGGTTTATTTCCTAAACCAGGTGCTCAAGAAGTCCAACATCATATACACTGCCATAAAACCAACAAGATCCAGAAAATCTTCTTTCCATATGCCTGTTTGGTACAGCAATACGAAACAGTTTTGCGACAGCAATTACGAACAGTTTGTTTGTTGTTAAGCACATATCTACACAATGGACTATCCGTGCCATGGATGTTGAAACTTGGTTTTTAGCATGTATAAATCTTCAGATTTACCACAGAGCCAATGGGAGACAAATTATGATTGGATACTAATCAAATGTTTTCTAAAGTTTAAACTTTAGTTGTAGGTAAAGATTCATATGATGTTTAATTGATGTTGCATGCATTAATTTTACGTACCTCTCATTTTGAGCCACAACGAACAAATTTAGAGGAATTTTGAAAAAAACAAAAAATATTTGTAATTAAATCAATTTTAATTAAAATTATGGAGGTAAAAAGATACCATTATAATTCAGTATTTGTGCCTTTTGCTTTTCAGCATCCAATATTTTAAAACTTTTAACCACCTGAATCCATGACAGTGACAGTTTATCATGTATATATCTTTCTACAAATTAAGTCTAGCCAAAGCTTTATCATCCCTACAAAATACATTTTTTTCTATGAATGATAGAACAATGATCAAAAGGTTTTCTTCATAATGCCTTCATAAGACTACTTAACATACAATAATTACACTTGACAATGGAAAACATTATTGAAGTGTATACATTTCTGATAAAGCCTGTAGTGTGAAATAAAACTAAGTCTACCGGGTTTTTTTCTTGTTGATTAAGGTCATACTACATATATGAGGGTTAAATGTAACAACAATGATGATTTGCAGGGTTTTACATGTGATTCTTTAAATCAAAGTTTATTAATATTACAGAAAAGTTTAATAAGTGCAATGTTCTAACATCAGAAGACAATGGCATTACAAGAGCCTGTGAATATACATATATATGAAAATAATATGCTTGCATTTGCCTGTCTGGAACTTTTCTCCCAAATTTCTTGATCAAACCCTACAAGTCTCTTATCATTAGAAAGGCTTTTGTCCGAGGAGTCTGGATTACATATTGGCCTTTGTTTTCAGAATCACCTTACCTGTTTTTTGCTCAGTCAAACTTTTCAATGCAACGAGTATGGTACACAATGGCACAATGTCATTGTTATCATGCGACAACTGGCTTCAATTTCTAGTTGTTGTTTTTTTGGAAAGTATTTCACACAAATAAAATGAATATTACACTATATGCAATTTCTACTGGCTTTCTTACTAAAATACACACGTGCAATTTGTTCAAAACCATATGCTTATCACTTTGTGAACAAACAATCGGACGTTTCTGCATATTCAGCTAAGTTTGCCTTCCTTACAACTTCACATTTACTTTACTTTGCACTAACTTAAGTTTGATACATTTCATAGACTGCTATAAACACTTTTTAGCTACTTTTCTCTTTTATACAGGTTTTATTCTTCATTTTGTGAGTTTCCTTAGCTCAACTTGTAAAACTGTGTCATACAATGAGCATTCAATACTGTTTCTTACTCTGTTTACTATTATAAATACCATTACTATACTTTATTGTTTACTTTACGTGTAGTTTTATTAAATAAAGTTATGTCTAGGTGAGTTTTTGTCTGACCTCATAAATTTTTTAAAAAATTGATCAGGATTTATCAATCTAACACATAATGCCTACAAGAAAGTATAGCTTAAATGATGTACATGAAAATGATAGAAAAATAAATCAAGAGATGGGCATGAAAACTACCACAAATATTTTGCAGGTCATGGCTAGTATATTACTAATAATATTCGGAATTAGTAACCTGAGCCAGCATGTTCACATTTAGTGGGTGTACTAAGTTAGTCTTGTATTTTCATACCTATTTCAGTCAACATGTCCATATTTAATGGGTGTACTAATTCAGTTTTGTATTTTCATACCTTTTTCAGCCAACATGTTCATATTTAATGGGTATACTAAGAAGGATCAAGATATAGCTTGCTTATAATATTTTGTTTACACAAAGAGATACTAAGCACATCAATGACAGTATTTATGGGTGTAGTTACATTTAGCACACTCACCCGATAGAGCAGATCCTCTCTGTAACACATCATCAATGTTTTGAACCATTATTCTCTGCACATCCTGAAGTTCTGTATTTAGCGTGGAAAGGTTTCTTCTGCTTCTGGAATCCATGAAGGACTTCTTAGACTTCTGAATATAGGTGTCTAAAACAAACCATTATTGATATTTCTTAGAATACAAACTCAATGATTACTTTAATGTTTGTATGATAAATTACAACATAATTTATTGAAGCCCTTTAATAATACAAATAGTTGTAAAAAGTGTTAACTCATATAAAGTCTCAAAAAGTTTAGTTTATCATTTCTTTCTTATGTAAAAACAAACATCAGGCCATTAATTACACTCATGAACTGGAGACAAAACTAAATTAATAATACCAATAGTTGTAAAAAGTGTTAACTCACATGCAGTCTCAATAAGTTTAGTTTATCATTTCTTTCTTACGTAAAAACAAACATCAGATCATTAACTACACATGTGAACTGAAGACAAAACTAAATTAATAATACCAACAATTAAACACAGTTTGTCAACTGAAGTCAATACTGTGGGCTTCATGTAACATCATATTCTTTCATTCCATTTAATACAGAATAGATAAAGTGTACTGTAGTTAAAATATTTTCTAGACTGCTGTAAATGAAAGTTGTTTAATTAGTTTTATGTATAGTGTAACACTATATAAAAATCATACCTATTTATGGGTATCAAACTTCTTGAAGACATAGCTGTCACATATTTCTATAATTTCAAATGAAAATTAATACATTCGTGCTTTTTTTGTTTACTGATAACTATTTGGCAATGGATAGTTGATAGTGATAATCCACGATTAATGTTAGAAAGCCACTGTTTCTTTGCTAGCACTGCTCGTTCATGAAAGTCAAGTTTGGTTATTATTTGTTTATTTCAGTAATCTTTTGGAGAAACAAATGCTAAATATTGTAACTCATGTAGCAGATTGTTTTATTTTTAACTTTTTGTGTAGCATTCTTTCTATCATTTGATGGAATTCAAGATTTAAAAAATTTAGATTATAAACAGTATACTAATATTGGCACGATTCCTGGAATATGAATGAATCATGGCAATTCTAGTAACATTTTTAAGGAAAATTTTTGCATAAAGCTAGCAAAAATATAGATTTAAGTATACAAGCATAACATAATATTATTAATTTGAAACTAACTATTTTGATTAGTTTTAAACTTACCATATTGATCTTCATGTTCATTAATTGAACTTCAAACAACTATGAAGATCTGGTTGGACACCAACTGCATCTATTTTAATCAACTACTAACAGATTAAATTCCTGTTAGTTTCCAAACAACACAAATTTATGTGAGAAAATAACCAATTATGAAACTGTTTTGTTTGAGGTAATGCACAAAGCTACACAATGGGCTATCTGTGCTATGCCATTGGGGTGGGGGGTGGGTGGAATTTTATTACCTATGATATTAATATTTGCAAGATAAACAAATAAATATTACAAAATATTAATTATAAAATATTTTTGTGCAAAAAATTATTGAAGAGTTGGAATTATTATTTTTACTTAAATTTCATTTGAAAATCTGATATTTAGATGTTCGAATGACACCTGTAAGGTGCTCACTGGTCCAGAAACCTTAGGCAAATCAATTTACAGGGGGAGGGGGATATTTAAAATCAATGGGTGTAGGTAAAAGGAACTGTGAACGTTACTTTCCTACATAAAAATTTCCTGAGAAGTAATCAAGTTTGTATTTGTCAAATTGTGTAACAGGAAGAGTAAATGGTTAACTTTTCAGAGATGCCAGTTTTACTATGACAATTTTTTTTCAGCCATAATACTCCTTTTTAACATTTATTTTCACTCATGAATAAATAAACATACCTCAAGTATATAAAAATTATTAACATTCTTTTTTAGACCAACAACCCTATTAGGCCACTTTCTATTGCCACCAGATGGTTATTTGGGCTTTAGGCCTATCAACTGCCAAGATCATTAAGGCCGTCAACGTGTTGAGACTCCTCACCATTACTGAGGATGTGTGCGTGGCTGGAATAATTAAGTGTGCTGCATTTGATTGGTTGTTGTGTGGCTGCACAGCTTAGAGGGAACACTGATTCTGAATTGTACTGTGATACATAAAATTAAGACAGAGTTTAGAATATTTATATGAATTTCGTTTTTACTGAAAACTTTAGCTACAAAAATGCCCTTGACACCAATTTTTATTAACAATTACACAATACACTTACCAAACTCAATAAAGCTATATGGTCGAGACACAGTTGCAACTCTAGAGCCATACTGGGAGCGAAATTCATTCTGGAGGTCTTCCAAGTATGCATAAGCTAGTCGTTTTGAAAAGGATTTTTCACAAAGGGCTAAATAGCAAACATCATTTTCTATAAGGTAGCTGAAATTACACAAGGATTTATTTAGAAATATGATCTGAATTTTAACTTCCACATCCATCCATGCAGCTCGGTATTTTTTTATTTTTTTAGCTTTCCTGTTCTATTGAAATCACCAAGTTTTACTAATAAAATTAACAGTAATCAGGTTTCAATTTCCAAAAGCAAAGTACCATTATTTTATGACAACACTTGCAAATAACATCAAATGTGCACAATCACGTACGTTACTGGTTACCACGAGAATGGCAGACATGTGACATTTTAAGCCAGGCAAAGTAAAGCAATAGACCAGAACTGCCAAAACACTGGCCCTGACATACTATTACTACTACTGAAGTGACAACAGCTGCAAAGAATATAAAGATAATGAGAAAGCCTAAATACAAAGCTAATCAAAAGTTTGCTTTAAGAAATAACTTGTCAGGACTATTAAAAGTAAGCAAAAGTGATTGAATTTTTGAGAGAGAAAAAAAAACACATTAGAAAGCATCATTATAGATACAATGTAATGAAAATGTTTTTAATACTGTTTTCTGTACATGTAACTAATCTGTAAAATTAAGTTTCTTTTTCCATACATATATACAATTTGGGTAACAGATTACTTCTGGTTTTCTAGTCAAGTGCTGATTGTGACTTGAATGATGAGGTAATGCAAAATATTATTAATAAGACTTAACATCTGAAAATAATGGATATATCATAATATAAAGATATCATTTTCGTAATAATATATAATGCAGTCCTTGGTCAATATACAAATTATGGTGAATCATTAGAATCTTAGCTTGAGCTGTGTTTCACATATATACATCAATTTTGGTACCTAGCACTAATACTATATATGTAAAAGATATACTTAATGAAAAAAAGAATACTTTCCGAGTTATTTCAATATCAAAAAGAGTAATGTACATGCAATAAAATTGCTCTTTTATATTTTTGAAACATATATATGGAGATGTGTGTTGAATTTGAAAGTTTGTATGGCTTAGAGTTTCAAAATATGGAAGTCTGAATTTGCCTTTAACGCATTACTTGTGATTTACAGTGCACTAAAGTTTTTATGTTTACATTTCAGATCACATACCATATGCATATGATTAGTGCAAGACAAAAAACAGATCTGATTTAAAATGATGGCCTGTGTTTATTTCGCTCTTCTAAGTTACAACAGAAGCTTTCAATAATTTTTTTCTGTAATGAAACTTTGTTAAAAGTTGAAATAAACAAAATGATTAATAACATCAATCATAAACATTTGAAATGGTGTCTGTTAAAGCAATAAACATTTGAAATTTTGCCTAACTTTAACTTTTATCATATGTCTAAATATTGTTTACATATTGATTTCAGATGCATAAAAAATGTCCAGTTTCTTGAGCTCTGCTCTAGACATTCTAGATGTTTGCTCTGGTTCCCTCTTAAATGTTAGAATACATATTCATTCCCACCACTGGAGAGATCACTGACAAAATACAATTTTGTACATGGACTTAGCTAATGTAACTAGCAAAAATATACCCGTTTTGATTACACAGGCCTGCGATGGTTTTATTGTCTTGAACATTTTACATGTTCTACAGTAATTCGTGTATGCTGAATCCAAAAATGATATCCATTTTTCTCCATTATGTACAGATTTTTCACAAAACATCATAGTGCAATACATAAAAGAAAGACCACAATACGTAGTTTTGAGACTAAAAGACGTAGATTTCACACAAAAAATCAGGATGAATGAGGAGGCATATTCATTTCACATCAGTGTTATTCCCTTTTCTTCAGTTTGTTTGTATTTTTGTTTTCAATTTAAACTTCATGAAAGTTGTTTTGATTTTAATAACAGATTTTCCATAATTCAGCTATGTAGTTTCCAAAATAATATTAATTTTTTCTATCACGTAAGGATTTTTTACAAATCAGGAAGAAAACAAACTCTTACTTAGATCAAATTATTTTGTTTACCACAATGAACATTTTTTTATCATTTAACACCTTTTTGATCAAAAGTAAACAAAATATAGATGAGAACTAAAATAAGTAACAAGTAAGTTAATTAAGCTCATTCTGTGTAATAAAAATAAATAATATCAGAATTCAATACACAAGAAAATTGAAATGTATAATAATTTAATGTGCAAGTGTGACACCATAAAAATTTATCATTCCAAGTGTTAGTTGTCCTTGCTATGAAAAATAAGAAATAAAAGGTAATAAGATGGATTTACTTTAATCTGTCAAGATCTATCATTTCGAGGATATCAAAAACTAGTTTATAAATAAACCTGAAAAAAAATTACTGAAATTGTACACTTGTATCTTTACAGATGAATAAAAGAGTAATGGGTTAATGATGTGACAAGCTACTCTGTCCAGCCCAACTTTGGTTAATCATTACACAGCAGTGAAGGAAGAATAATGCAACCATTCCATGTTTCACTAACTTATCAATCATCATTGAAGCTTCAAAAATGATTATTTTTTCTTGCAAAAGAATAGAAACAAAGAAAAAAGACTAGTGGTGGGAATGGGAGAAAGGCAGTGAAGTGAGGTACTAGTCATTATCTCTTATTTAGATGTCATGGTTAGTTAGAGATGAAATTCTGCTACTTATCTATATGATAATGAGAGAGTTAATCCAGGACAGAGTAACACACGAAATGACCATAGAAAGAGTTAATTAAAAACAGGAAGCAACTTCATCTCAATTATAGCTAACAACTCTTTAACAAACAAATGTAAAAACAATGACTCCAGGTTCTACGACCCCAACACATAAATGTGACACACTACTTAACGTAGGTTTAATGACCTCTAGTATATTCATTACTTAGAAAACACATTATTTAGACAAGTAAATTTAATTAACTATAACTTAAACAGAAAATCTTAATTTTTTTTTCTGGAAGATAATTTTATAATCTTATTAATGCACACTTACTGAAACATATATGGTCCCGTTTCTATGGTACACTTTGGAAGAGACTGTGAATTTAATTTGCGAAACAACATTTTAGCTTGGTTCTGGTATTCTAAAGTATTTCTGCCAGCCTGAAATGTGAGAAAAATAAAATATTTACATATTATAACCATATAATGCTTAAATGAATGACTATATTATTGACCTAGATGAGCTAGTCATTTTTAAGCTTCTCATAATATAGGTTTTGTTGCATAATGTAAAGATACTTTTATATTACAACCTACCCCAACAAATGTGAATAAAAAAATTCCTAAACTTAGCTTGAAAACTGCAAAACATTTGAACCTTTTTGGAACTAGAAGAGTCTATATATCCACCTATGTCTTAGTTTAACTGGGCTGATAAAAGATGGCACTGCTTAAAACGTCAGTTTTCAGCAGATCATGGTAAAGACTTTGTTACTTTTTATATTAATTAATATACTTTTTCATAATATTTCAATAATCAATGAATGTACATGTTTATAGCTTTTCTACTATTTGTATGTTGTATACATGCAACAAAGTCATATTCATTAATTTATGATTATTTTTTAATTATGAGCTATAAAGTTAGCTTACCTTTCATTAAAATACCATAAAAATTTACCACTCCAAATGTAAGTTACCTCACTACGAAAGAATAAAATTCAGTTACTAATTTGAGGCTTTTGACAATGAAATCACCATATATTTACATATGTACACATTTTATTTTCAATTAACAGATAAAACAAGAAAGTTGGAGAAACCATTCATTCAGAAGAAAAACTGCATATAATTACTGGAAAAATGGTAGAACCCACTTAACATCTTGGATAGTTATGTACTTGGCAGAACAAAACTGACAGATAATGATCAGATATTGGCATCTGCAGCCAACAATTACTTAATTTCTACAGCAAAAAAAAAAAGTGAATATTAAAAAATGTTAATAAGTTTCTTTTTTAACCAAATGAGGAACCATGGTCTCTGTCACAAAAAAAAGCTGATTGATGATGTCCACAGTTGTGAATTTGGTCAAAATCTATTAAAATCTCTGCCACCAGTTGATAAGGAGCAGAATGACAAGGAATAGAACCGTGGGGAATAAATGACAATGGAAAATAAAAATTATGAGGAAGAGGGCTCCATTTGTATGGGCTAAGATACTCTTAGTTGGTTTTTCAGTTGGTTCAAAACTTGCAACCATTTTAGAAATTATGTGTTAAAGTTTTGATACAAAAGAAAAGAAAAATATACTTATATTCTTTCTAAATAATACACTTAGATTTGAGTATAGCTTAGAACTTTATAATATCTAAGGGATCAGCTCTACTCATCACATGGTTTAGAGCAAGGAAAAAAAAGAAGAAAATCAGCTTTGTGCTCGTGTATGTGCTGTACAGTGTGAATTTATTGCCTGGAATCAGACAACATGACTTATCTACTTCCATTCTTTCAGTTGGTTGTGTTATAGGTTGAAAGAGTGGGATAAATTTTGAGTTTCACTGACAATAAACAATTGGCTTAACATGCAATCACAAGGTTTACTAAAGTTGCTGGAATAAATTGCCAGAGTAGTTAGTACTAGTCAGTCTTTAAAAATTATGATAATCCAAATGCATTACCTTATAGTTACTGTAATTATATATCATTTGTCAAACATTTGTTCAATTTATCAAACTGATTGTATAATATTTCAAAGCTCTCAGTACATTTAGAAATAACAATGGGCTTAATCTAATCAGCAAAATATACTTATTATACTATATCACTATCGATAATATAATACGAAAAAGCAAAGATCCAATTACTGACCCCTGAGGCACTCTTCTGATGACAAGTGTCCAGTTTGAGAGGGTTCAGTTAATAGCAATTTATTACTTTTATCCATCGAACAACCCTACAATCCAACTTACTAGTTTTCCCTCAACCCATACCATTGTGATTTTAAAAACTAATCAGTCATGCCTAGCAGTGAGCCACTGTAAAAATAAATATTTTTTAAAGATTGTTTTTCTATAGAGCAAATAGTAGTTTCTCAGACCAAAATAGAGTTAAATATATTGTATATAATTAATTTACATTTGACTAATGATAAATATGAATTTCTATACCAACCTCTAAATTTCCACGAAAAAATCCAGTACCTTGTGTGATGACAGAGGTTTTTTACCATGTTAGTTCTTATATTGAGGTCAGAATTCCCCTGATATTTTAATGGGCAATTTAGTTTTTTATTTAAAACTCTTCCTGAGTAGTGAGTGTGCAAGGTTAGCCTTGATTTACCAAATGGTCCCTTGTTGATCATATGTTACATACTCTAACAAACTATATGTGTGATGTATCTATCTTATTTGAAATTTACCATTCAACAGTTATTATGACTATGGAGGAATGTATGGCTACCTTTCTCAAGATTTTAGCAAACTACGTGTAAAATAATCAATTAACTATATTCTAAAAGCATGGTCAGCCTATAAAATAGATTGCCAAGTTTCAGGTGTGGTTGGTGCTACGACATTAAATTTTAATATTTAAGATGAAAGAGGAGGTTGGATGAGTATTTTAGAGAACAGGCTTGAATATAGTCGAAATATGTATGTAGTTTGGAATAGTATGGTAGTACTAGTACAAAATAAGATAAACTAGATGAATATAATGTATTTCATTATACATAATATTCACATTATATTTAGCCTAAAACTTATAATTATGGTATCATAAATAGCTAAACAACAAATAAGAGTGATATATCAGCATAATATAATGATTTAAATTAAATAGCACCTTGACCACTACCATGTCTTTTGAATCCAATCCACCAAGATGAGTTCAGTGTTGGACGTGGCAGGCATAGTGTGGTTTAGTTTGTTTGAATTTCACTCAAAGCTACACGAGGGCTATCTGCACTTGCCGTTCCTAATTTAGCAGTTAAATACTAGAGGGAAGGAAGCTAGTCATTACCACTGCCAATTTTTAGGCTACTATTTTTACCAATGAATAGTGGGATTGACCATCACATAAATATAATTCCCCAAAGGGTGAAAGGGCAAGCATAGTTAGTGGGATGGGGATTCAAACCCGTGACCCTCAGATTGCGAGTCAGGCATAATGTGATTCTCATGTTATTGTTATTACATATTCTTCTTTACTTTTATATATAAATTCTTAGTATGATCTTTCAAACGAGAAATAAAAAGTATCTACTTTACCTCAGGGTATAATAAATTATTGCTATTACTATAGTATTAGTATTGTTACAAATACAATGAAACAGTTAATTTCAAACAAATCAATGATGTAAAATTGTGAGGAAGATCCTCCAGTAGCAATAATGCAGCACACTTAATAATACCATTAACATTTAGTTCTTACGACAGTGTTTTAAATAAACTAGTACTAATATTAAATTAATTAATAATAGTATCGTTTCTCACCTGTTCATCATCCTGTACGGATGCAGCGAGAGGTAACCCATCCGCCACCCTAGCTATCATTGTCATAAGCACCATTTTCTTATTTCTACTTTTTAAATTCAAATGCAATTTAACGTTAATATCGTATTAAATATTCATTACACGACCAAACAATTGGTACTTGTATATTATATAATGTAATAATACGGCTAACTATATGACATAGGCTTACTTTCGTACTTCTTATGCACTTAGACTGGAATGAGATTACGGATAGTTTCTACTACGTGTTGATTCCACAGAGGTCGCGTTTGTCGAGATTATGATGTACATATATTTTATACGTGTCAGCAATGTAACCACCGATCCATTATAGGCGACATTCTTGCCCTCTTTGGTCAGTTAATAGAAAGGCGATTTTTAATGTTGTTTTAAATGAATATATTTAAAGGTGTGTGTGTGTGTGTGTGTGTGTGAGGAGGGAGGATTTCTAATTATAAATGCACACAGAAATAATTTCATTTCCTTTGAGATCCCAACTAAAGAAGCTATTTTATAATATATCAATAGAATTGATGTAATCCTGAGAAACGGCCCAGTAAAAGATATAAAAAATTTAATTAAAAAACTCACAGACATGAAATATTTTCTTTGTTTGTGTTAGCGCAAAGCTGCGCAATAGACCACCTGCACTCTTTCCACCACGTGGTATCAAACCCTGAATTTTAGCGTTTTAAGTCCATAAAGTTACCGCTGACCCAATGGGATCCAGTCACGAAAGAAAACTTCTTGAAGTTTATTTCAACATAAGATATAGTCGGAGCTAACATAGGTGAAATATTAATGTTTAGCATACATAAGTTATCTTTGCAAATTTTTATATTGTTAAAATGTCTATTAACAGGGTTTCCAAATAGTTCAATGGTAAGTTTGCAGACTAAAACGCTAACAAATCGGGGCTCGATACCCGTGGTGGGTATAGCACAGATAGTCCATTGCGTATCTTTGTGCTTAACAATAAATCCAATTAATATAAAGACAATTTGAAAGAAAGTGAATTAACTTTCAAGCTACATTGTATAAGTCCGCTTGATAACAGGAGATCCGATTAATATATCGATTATGAAATAATATTAAATATCTCACTAACTTAATGGAATAGTGAGACTGGACACCAAATGAAATACAAAAGTGTACAATGTTTATTAAAAACAAAAACTGCGTGTAACTGGATTATAATACGAAAGGATATTGATTTTTACTGAATACTCATAGTGGTTTGCTCTTCAAGATCCTGTTATAGACTGTTTGACGAGCTCAACACAATAACAATACTTTGTGGATTCCAGGGAATTCTTTATTTCAAGATTATACATAACACAAGATACGTTGATTGGATGCATGAATTATACGATCTAATTGATGAAAAATAATAAATGTTCCGCCTTGTTGAATACTTTCTTTTAATGTTTGTGACTTGAATAAAGATTGTTACATTTGGTTATACGTTGTTATCGGTCTCTTTGATTTCTTAAAACTCTGTGAAAAGTCAAATAATTCAGATTCGCTTCATGATACATTTTCTGTCGGACCTCCTGTTATTCTATGAAAGCTATGTGATTACTATTAGGGGAAATCAGTACACCTGGGAATTCCACAAGGTTCACGATATTTGGTAATGATACGAGGTTGAATACTTAGGTATAAAACTCCTTCTCATATAATTATTGATGTTCTGTTTGATGATCCTGGTTACGGAATATTGCTTTACACCATAATTTTCACTACATAAAACTTTTAAATAACACACTGAGATCAATGTTACTCCACTTATTCCACGTCTTAACTGCTTTCCAAATTCCATAAGTTATAGATGTTTGACGACTTCTGAAGGATAGTTTGTAGAAATCATGGGAGATATCTGAGAACGAAATATTTTGATTTCTCGTTTATGCTCGCATCTTATGAAGGAACTGTGATGTCAACTTGCAGTTGTGATTGAATATTTGCCTTAATGGAACCATGAATTATTTGCATCCAATCCTCACAAAAATGGCAATTTCTTGCAGTATAGTTGTAGTATGAATGCATACCATAACTTTTTTACTATATTATTTTAATATAATTTTTTCAAACTTTTTGTTTATTCTAGGTATGCGCAGTTTACACATAACACGTGGTTAAAAAACTTGTCAAGTGGATTTCTTTCTAACCACCTTTGTTTTCTGTCTACCCATGGAGATAACACCTGGTATTGAAAGTATGGCTAATAATGCTGCTCCTTATGTAGGAATGTCGACAACAGTGTCTTTCAATGGTAAGTCAGGGAATATTTCGAGGTTATAGCCTTCCTTCTGTTCAAAGAGGAATGACCAGTCACGTTCTTAGCGCTAGTCGCTCTGGATAAGTCTGACACTACCGTTTCACTAAGTAACGCGAGATTTAGTTAGTCTTGAAGTTTATCTTTAGTGGGTTGGAGAGCCTGTAAATACGTCTTGAGTTAGTGTAACCATCCTGATTAATCCATATCTCCAGTAAACAAAACTGTTTGTTGTTCAAAGGTGCTATAAACCCACTGTTGCATTGTGTTGTATAAATAAAGATTCTGTCATTGTGTATTACACATGTCCAGTCTATTATTTCTTAGCTATTTTTGGTGGAACTCAACATTTCTTTGTAACATATCTTGCTGAACCATTCTTTACATAAAGGACTTACCTGATCTACTTTTTCGAGAAATCGGTTTTAACTGAAAACACCATATAGTTGTGTCAGCGCGTTAGCTTGAGAGCATGAACTCTGCAGAGTTCACTTTGCCATTTTTTTCTTGAGCCTCTTGGTGTTTAATTAACTTAATATTACAACTGTAATCCAAAACCACCTTAAATCTGCTGGAAAACTGCCTGGACTTTTTCAGACACTTAAGTAAACAAATTCTTCGTCTGATGTGAAGATATACTCCGTTTATCACATGTCAGTTACCGTTCAAATAGCTTTCACCAATAGGTTTCCCATTTGTCCGTGAGTTAGACTTTAGTGCCACATTTATTTATCTAAATCCACACGAATTATCTTGTTAGCAGATCTTACGTCAGGTGAAATGTACCACTGTACTCTCAGATTTAATACTGTCAGTGACGAGTTGTTAAACTTTCTTTACTACTTTATATGTACGATCGGTAGCCGGTCGGGAGTATTATATCCTGCTTTAAATCACTCCTCCCTTTTCTATATCGATAACAGTTCGACACTAGAGGCATCTCTTTCGTCGACACGCTAAATTTTCATGCTCTATCTTCTATCATAATTACACAATAGGAAAGCTTTTAAACATAACCTTCCTAGAAAGAGTCAGTTATAGGTTCGGTCTGCACTTGAAGATCTCCATACTTCAACTAAATTGCAATAAGAAAGTCAGGGATTTTAATGTGTGTAGCCAAAGGTAGCGAATGACCAAGAGTATGAAGATTGTACCATAAATCCTGAACATCACTTTGTATTACATCTTAAAGGCAAACAACAAAACAAACATGTTCTAGAGTTTCTCTGCTTCTGGTTTCCTCTGTTGCATTAACAAGTGTTATTGTTAGATGTAGAGAGAAAATCTGGAAAATATCCAGAACACCATGTTTAAGTTTTTATTAAATAATTTATAACGAGCTAGTGAATCATCTTATTATTTAAAATAGTAGTAAACTCCTGTTTAACATTTATGATTTCGTTTCACTAGATATTTTTGTTATTATATTGAATTAATAAACAACGATTTATCAGCATAATGAAGTGGTTTATTTTGGAGAATTTGTTTGTTTTCAATTTCGTGCAAAGCTACACGACAAGACACTGAAAAAATAAAAGTCGTTAGACTCTTATAATATAAATGACAGAAGTAAATTCTCAGAAACTATTTTTTATAGACATTAACTAACAATGTGATTTCAAACTTCAAGTTATAAAAACAAATACTCACCTAAATTCTAACAACACGTGCATTTTCCCCTCGTTATTCATATTGGCTCTTCTATTCCCGCCCTCTAACCAACGATTCGCATATTACTATTATCAAAAATGGCTATTAATAATAGTATTACTGATATTTTTCAACCAAAAAGATATTTGTGTATGGAAGCACATTATGCTAATATAAAAGTACACTGACAATGAAGTGATTTATTCTGGGATGAACAAACCTGTTTAGACAGAACATTGGTCAAACCAATGCTCTGTTGAAACATGTACTATGCTCCCTTCAAAGTAGGCCTGGCATGGCCAAATAGTTAGAGCGCTCGACTCGCAATCTGCGGGTTATGGGTTCGAATCCCCCTAAACACCAAACATACTCGCCCTTTCAGCCGAGGGGCGTTATTATGTGACGGTCAATCCCAAAAGTTGGCGGAGGGTGGTCACGACTAGCTGCCTTCCCTCTTGTCTTTCAGTGCTAAATTAGGGACGGCTAGCGCAGATAGACCATAGCTACAGGGGACACTATAATGTAATGGGTAAGTAAGAGTTAAATGTGGGTGATATTAACTAACTGTCTACCCTCTATTAGAGGCTCTAGTCTATCACTTTCAAATTAAGAATGGCTAGCAGTAGCACAGGTAGCTACTGAGTACCTTTGCATGAAATTCAATAAAAACAAACATATAATATTAATTTATATATATATATATATATATTTAGTATTTCTCTGGTTTAGAGTAGTTTTCCCACATACCTTGTACAGAGTATTTTTAGAAATATAATGAAATTATTTATAAAGTTTAGTTTGTCGGCATAATCAATGTACACCATAAAAGACCATATCATTCGACTTCCAACAAGTGACAGACGATGAATGTTACTAAAAGTAAAACATGCAAGATTCTTACTCTTACTACTACTAGTCTTAGTAAATCGAACTTCCTAGTTCAAGAGGTGAAAATTAGTATAACTATAAGGGTAAGCATATTCAAGGATGAGTTTTGTTCCTCTGACATGGAGATTCTGAGTCAAAGGTTAACCACTAGGGCATGCCAGGCCACTTTAGAAACGAGTCTCTGCATTATTCTTTTATAGTGTAGAAAAATAACAATCTTGATTTTGGATTATTGGTGATTATGAAAGTATTTGCAAATATTCTAATGATAAAAGTAAAACCTCAGAGTCTTGTTGTTACTCTACAGTCTACAACATCACGAGCTACATCTACATATCTATGGACAACAGTATTATGTTCATTGGCTATTAACTGTTGCATTTACATTGGTCAACTGTGTTGACACTGAATGTGAGGACAAAGTGACAGAAACCTTAAGCACAAAATGTAGGCTCCATATCTACATTAAACATTTTTTTAACCTGTCTTATTTATAGCATGAAGCTTAAAGCTGATATACTGGTCAAGGATTTATGATTCCTTCAGCATTGAACTTGAAATGCTCCTGCTAACTCTTCCTTGCCAGGCATAGTTGACATATTGATTTAAAATAGTATAAATAATGGGTTTTGACCATTGAAATAATGCTGCTATTTGGCTAAAGACATTTATCGTGTGGTAATGAGTGGAGAATAGATTTAAATTGCATTTTTAGGGAAAATCTTTAAACAAACATTTAAAGATTGATTTTACAAGTTAAAAATACAATAAAAAAGTAAGTTATATACAAGTGTTAAATGCTCATTTATGCTTTTCATGATTTGGCTTTCGTGTGCAGAATCAGTTTTTTGTTTTCTCAATAAAAGAAACATTCATAAAAATAATATGTGAAGTTCTGTCATTCAGTTTACAACTCATCACTCATTTGTACCAGATTCTGGGAATTCTCAGTAACCATGAACAAAGGCAAGTTGAAAGAATAAGATTAGGCTTGATTTCGTGGTGGAGTGCGTGTTATATATGTGGGGTTTTGAAATGTCTTTTGCTTCACAGTGATCCTGTATTTATATAGGAATTTCAAGAATTTTTTAGTATTTTAAATAACTTGTTAGCTGAATCATTCATAATAATAAATTATTAGCACATTTTTGAAATCCTTGTATAAATATAGGAACACTTTGTGAATAAGACATCTCAAAACACCATACATAGAAAAATTTGTAATTGCTTCAGTTCTTCCCAGCTTCATATTTTCAGTGAATATAGACACGCGATTGCTCAAAAATTATTCAAATCATTTGCAATAAATAACAAAGATTCCAAAGCAGAGCTGTGTGGAAACCCACAGTCAAATCCCTCAATTGGAAGAAAAAAAATACCGCTTTGTTTTAAACCAAGAAGTAGATTTTCCCTTTACTTCCCAACTTTTCAGTCAAATCCATAAGCATCTAAATAGTTAATATCTTGTGTGGTACCTTATCAAAGGTTATCACAATCAACTACGGTGACATTGTTCCGAATCCCGAACTTCTGCCATATTGTTCCAGTGTTTTGGTAAGGATAGAATTAAATAAGGATTTCTGTGAGAGTGGGTATGGAGAAGAGTGCTGGTTTTGCAAGGGTATGTAGTATTAAAAAAGTTAGTGCTGTAGAACGAGGTTCATTTAGCGTTGATGTCCCAGTTTCAAACAGATTTGAGATTTGAACCTTTGGCTGCTTCTACTGAAGAAGGAGATGTTTATAGTGGAGACTCTTTCATTAAATTTACTGATGAAAATTTTGTAGTGGGGAGCATAGAAAGAAGAGAATAAAATTTGCTTGCTGGGTGCTAAGTAGAGGACATTATAGAGCATGTTGACAGTTTATTTTCTGAAAATATAACATGAGAACATCACGGGAAACTTTGGCCCTTTAAAGCCATTGAGAAAAGGAAAAAATTAAACCCACTCTTATTTTTGAGAAAATTTCCAATGATTCACTATTTTTTTATAAGGCTACCAAAAATGTTTCTAGTGAGGCCTAACTAGTGATTTGTAAGGAAAGTTAATTACCACCTTTGATTTGTAATTATTTTGTCTGTAAATACATCCTAAAATTCTGTTACTAGCAACAGGGCACTGACTTGATGGCTTGAGTGACTTAAAATTCATAACTATGCTAAGATTCTTTTCTTCAGTAATGCTATTGAGTGGATTATCATCTGTATTAAATTTTTGTGATCCAAACTATCATCACCCAAATGCATTGCCTTCCACTTATTATAATAAAGGTAATTTGCGAGATATTCGTCCCACTAACTAATTGACCCAAGTTGTTCTGTAATACATCATCCTCTACATAGCTGGAAACACCCAAGAGTTTGTCATTTGCAAATTTTTACTAACTTTCTAATCATTCCCCTTATAAGTATCATTATTGTAAATAAATAAAAGCTAGGCTCAAGCATTGGGCCCTGAGATACTCCACTAGTAACAAGGGTCCAATTTGACTGGACTCCATTAATAACATTTTTTTTTTTTATCCTCCTAACCTACAACTTAGCTCATTAATCTTTACACACCCATCAACATTTTCTTAGCTAATTTTTTGTGTGGCACCTTATCAAAAGCTTTTTGAAAATCTAGATATACCAGATAATTAGTTACATCCATGAAAAAAAAAGTTAGATCAGTGAGTCATGGTTTCCCTTTAGTGAATCTGTATTATTTTCTTTTATGATATCATATTTCTCTAGATGATTTTGCAAAACTTTTTTTTTATCAGACTAGTATTTTTCCAATCTACAAAAGTAAGCCTGACTGATTCATAATTTCCAGGGAATCTCTTACTACCCCATTGAGTTGCTTCATCACGTTAAGTATCATAGAACTTCCATAACTTTAATCCTTAAGGGACATGAAAAAAAAATGTATTTGGAATTTAATTTAAGTAAGATACAAGTAATTTGTAAGTAAGGGTAAGAAAAAGGGTATTTATGTACAAGCTTTACATAACTTAATAAGCTAGTTATTCTTCATTACAGTAATTGTTAGTTGATTAGCTTGAAAGATTTTATTAGTTAGTTACTAGTTGTATAGCTTACAGAAAGTAAGGGTGTCCAGACAGTATGATGCACAGAAACACCATTTGTACATATTATATCAGTTGCCTTTGTTGAGAGCCACAATATATTGTAGTGCATGTACCAAAATACAATGCATCAGTGAGATACATAAGTAATAAGTGCATTTTAGGGTGTTATTAAGGTTCAAGATAAAGAGGAAAATGACTTCCAGATTTTTAAGTTAAAGAATGAAAAATAAGTGAAAAGAATAAAAACATTTCCTGGGAAAGTAATGCACATTTGACTTGGAGAAAATATTGAGTTGAAGAAGCTAAACCACTTAAGTTTCACTGTACTATTTGTGAAAATATTGCCTGCTCACAGCTATTAAAAAAATTATAAAAACCCTTGTTTGGAGATTTTAAGTGTTTTCATGAGATTGTTTCTTTATAACCACATAATTATAATGGGTAAAGCTATCAAACATGCTGTTGGTGTGAACATGCCTTGTAGTCACTATGTGAATAACCTATATACTGTCACTGGCCACTGTTATATCTACTATTATGCAGGTAAAGCTAGGAAAAGAACAATTATTGGTCACCTGAAGTTGCTAAGGGCATTCAAGTCACTGACCAATCCAAGAAAATTTACTCAGGTTGTAGTCTGATCTATGATTGAGAAATTGACAGTATCTGCATAACTGTTGCGTAATTGAACTGTGCTTTTGAGAAGTCTCATATATCCAAGTGGGGTCTCGCATGAATTGGCAAAAATGAGCCACTGTTCACAATTTAAAAGTTTTAGTGGTGATCATTAGCTAAAGCCTGTGATTTTTTTTACAGTAAATAATAAAATTCACACAGAAACCTTTTACATTTTTTTAATAGGAAATAATAGGTTTTGTAAATTGAAGACAAATTTTGTAAGACTTACTATAAAATCACAATCATAATAACTTGCTTTAGTGGTAAACACATTGAAATTTTTTTTTAATTAGTGGTGGAGCAGAGCTTCTTTTCAACAATAAAAAGAAGTTTGATGTCATGTTACCTAGCAGTGACAAACCATGTAAGTATATCTGATGTCATGTTACCTAGCAGTGACAAACCATATAAATATATCTGATGTCATGTTACCTAGCAATGACAAACCATGTAAGTATATCTGATGTCATGTTACATAGGAATGACAAACCATATAAATATATCTGATGTCATCTTACCTAGCAGTGACAAACCATGTAAGTATATCTGATGTCATGTTACATAGGAATGACAAACCATATAAATATATCTGATGTCATCTTACCTAGCAGTGACAAACCATGTAAGTATATCTGATGTCATGTTACATAGGAATGACAAACCATATAAGTATATCTGATGTCATGTTACCTAGCAGTGACATATCTGATGTCATGTTACTTAGCAATGACAAACCATGTAAGTATATATATATATATATATATGTGTGTGTAACTGTTATATTTTACTTAAATTATGTTATTGTTTTGGACATCTTAAAATTTTTGAAGTCTTGCATAACAATTCAGATATGTATCTATTTATGATTTTGTAGCTGATTCTGAATGTAAGAAATTTGTGAAAGACCGTTCATATTGAAGTGAGAAAAAGATCCTGTCATTTGTGTGTGTACATTCCATTTAGCTTTGCATGAATCAAGTTTTAAATATTGGTAATAAGTTTAATTATGACTAATTATATGCTACAAAAGTATAGAACAGACTTATCTATTAATGAAACAAGTATTAAGAAAAAAGTTATTGCTAAATAAAAAAAGCTATGTTTGGCTGGCTACTGAACTTGAAAAAAGGAACCAAATAAGATAGGGATGGAAGTGGATATATCACTGATCCGGCTAATGATCACATAACAAACTAAACTGTCCAGACTTTACATGAAAAGTCAAATCCCTACCTTACTGGCTTCCCAGCTTTGTCTATTGAAAACTTGGTGTTTGAATAGAATCTCAGCTTTCATTATTATACCCTTCATTTAGTTAACTTTAGAATGCTACAAATATGACTATTTTACAATAGAGTAATATTCTACGATTGGAAATTCTGGTTCTATTTGTTTTGCCAATTAGGAAGCCAGTAATGGTACTCATCCTTGTGTTGTTTCTGTAGATTTTGAACATCCATCTGAACAATCATGATATATTTAACAAAACAAAAACTATTACATTTGTTATTAGGTATATTCATTTGCTTGAACTCATTTGTTACTGTGATTAATAATTATACTTTGAGTTTATTCAACTATTTATTTCCAAATTGTTCTCATTAAATAATGTGGTAGTATATTTGGTTTCATTATTTACATGCAAAAATGTTTTTACTTTTAAGGGACAATAAAAAATCTTTTGAAGTGGATAAAAGACAATTTATTGGAAGAACGACCAGAACTTTTTATTCAAAAAGATTCTGTGTAAGTATAAAATAGACTGTATATAAAATGATTTTGTCATTGACAGAAAAATTTAATTTTTAGCCTGTGTTGTTCCCTACAGTTTCCATGGCTTGTCCTCTCCATGCATAAATTATGTAAATTTAAATGTTTTTATTTATTTATTTATTAAAATCTAGTTGTAAGTTTAGGGCAACAATGTTCTAATGATGTGATAAGCAGGAAGAAGATAATCTTAAGACTTTTTGTGATTTAACTCATTACTATCTGAGCATGTATCTTTTATGTAATTCAGTGAAATTCTTATATAATCTTTAATGTAGGAGTTTTAAAATTTTTTCACTTCAGATCCCACCCTTATGTGAGAGTGAATATTCAAGACCCCCCATTTGTCAGATAAATACAATTCAACAGAGGATAACTACTGTTGTAAGAAATAAATATAGTACATCAATATAGTTCTACACCTTCAGTTTATTATCAAATTATTATATACCTTTAAAATAGTCACAAAACATGTCAAATACTAAAAAAGGGCTGGGCATGGCCTAGTGGCTGGTGGGCCCAGATTGTGAATCCAGTGATTTGTGGTTAGTGTTCTATTGCCTCAAAAATGTACTCTATACTCTCGAGCTGTGGATACACTATAAGGGTTACAGTCAAATTTCACTATTCAGTCAGAAGAGTAGTGTAAGATTTGGCAGTGGGTGTTGTTGACTATATGCCTTCCCTCTAGACTGTCAGTTCAAAATTAGGGACAGTTGTGCTGAGATAGCTCTTGTTTAGTTCACATGAAAATTTGAAATGAATGAAAAAATAAATTATTTTCCTATGACATATCAGGACAGCAAAGACATTGAGAAGATGAAACAAGTCCCATTGAATATATTAGTATTTCCAAAAAAAATAAAGATTTGTTTAATCTTTTCAGCTCTTTCTTGTACCCCTTTTTGAACTTCCGACAACTCTATAGTGAATAAAATAACATAATGTTTTGGGACAACATGGGATCTATTGGTCTATCTCGGCTGTTCCATCCATTTAAACTAAATTAAAATAATTGCAAAAAATCCTAAATTCATATCATTCATATACTTATCAAGCTTTTTCTTAAACTCACTTAAATTGACTGCCTCTACAATATCTGAAGGCCAACCACTCTGTTAGAAAATGAA